CTTTGTGTTTTTGGACTACAGTTCCCAGAATTCCTTAGGCTGCAAGTATTTGAAAAAGTAGACTGTGACCTATGAAAACTCACATGAAAATAAACTGATTGGTCTTAAAGATGCCACAATACTTTTATTTTTTTTGCTGCCAACCTATGAGGAGGGCTGTGATGTCCAGCTGTCCTTCTGCAGCCTTTGGCTAGTTTGGCTAGGGAAAAGATGGGGCAGTCCGCACTGGTCTCCTACAAGCAGTGATTGGAAGAAGCATCTTCTTCTTCTTCTTTTCCAATTCCCCCCCCCCCAATTTTTTTTCCAGGGTAAGGGGAAATGAATCAGGATAACAGGGCTTATATCATGTCATTTCTTATCATATATTATCTGTACCTAAACATATCATTACATTAAGAACATTTGTATCTGTTAATTGCCTATATACTTCCAACTAGAATTATTTGACTATTTTTTATTAAAATAATCACATTTGGCTTTCAAGTTATAGAACGGATCCAGTTATATATAGGTTCCCATTTTTCAGTTGCTTCTTGGATTGAATTGTCTTTCAAAACTTCTTATATTATCTGTACCTAAACATATCATTACATTAAGAACATTTGTATCTGTTAATTGCCTATATACTTCCAACTAGAATTATTTGACTATTTTTTATTAAAATAATCACATTTGGCTTTCAAGTTATAGAACGGATCCAGTTATATATAGGTTCCCATTTTTCAGTTGCTTCTTGGATTGAATTGTCTTTCAAAACTTCTGTTAATATCTCCATCTCCGCCACTTCCATCATCTTTTCCATGAATTCTTCACAGTTTGGTATTTCAGCTGATCTCACTTTGTTAACCAGTCTCCCCTTCAGTCCTGTTACACTTTTCTGCCTTTAGCTGTGTGTTCTAGTCAATTCCAATGCCTCTATCAGCCACTGTTCGATTCCTTTATATCATTATGGAAGAAAAAGTCACTGAACTCTTCTTTCCATTCTTTGCTCCTGAATGTAGCTTTAGCTAGACCTCCAATCAGATGAGGAACTAAAAGCTTCTGTCCATAAACTTCATTCTCCCTGGTTTTTAGGTTTACCCCATCTCCTAAGTAACTATAAGCCTTTTTTAAATACTAATGGCAAGAAATATCAGTAGGCAAACAATAATAGAAAATAATTCATTAATCTTCAGTGAGCCAGTGTGCTGATGGTGCCCAACTCTATTCTGTTTAAACCTGAAGAAATTGTTTCAGTTTTAAACCAGTGTCTGGAGTCTGGAACAGACCGGATGAGCATGAAAGAAATTCAAGTTTAATTCAGTCATGTCAGAGGTGCTCCTGGTCAGTCAAAAGGTTGAGCAGAGATTAGGGATTCTGTCTGTACTGGATGGGATTAAAATCCACCTAAAACCTTGGGATCAGAGCTTGGGTGTGCTCTTGAATGCATCCCTAAGCCTAGATCCTCAGCAGTGACCAGGAGTGTGTGTGCATAGTTCAGACAGGTGCCCCCGTTGTGCATGCTCCTGGAGATGCTCACTTGGCAATGATAACACATGCCTTCGCCACATCTTAACTGGATTGCTATATCACGCTCTATGTGAGGCTGTCTTTGAGGAGTGGTTGGAAACTTCTACTGATCAAAAACAGTGCAGCCAGACTGTTTACTGATGCCACTTACAGAGAAATTTACAGAGAATTTCCTTCTTACAACAGCTTCACTAGCTATCAGCCAATTTCCAAGCATGATTCAAAGTTCTGGTTATGAACTGTAAAACCCTAAATAAGGTGGCCCCAGGCTATCCGAAAGATCATATTCTCTCCATTGAGCCTGCTAGGCTTTGAGATCAGTATGAGAAGACCGTTTGGTGAAGACTTGAGAGAGGGCCTTCTCTGTAGCACTACTAGATCCAAGAGTGACCAGGTTTGCCCACTGCCTGCTGTGCTTCCAATAACAGGCAAATATGTTTTTATTTAAGCAGGTCTTTACCAATTAGGGACATGGTGGCACTGCGGGTTAAACCACAGAAGCCTCTGTGCTGCAAGGTCAGAAGACCAGCCGTCATAAGATTGAATCCATATGATGGAGTGAGCTCCCGTCACTTGACCCAGCTCCTCCCAACCTAGCCATTCGAAAGCATGTAAAAATGCGAGTAGATAAATAGGTACCACCACGGTGGGAAGGTAATGGTATTCTATGTCTAGTCGCACTGGCCACATGACCACAGAAACTGTCTACGGACAAACGCTGGCTCCACGGCTTGGAAACGGGGATGAGCACCGTGCATTAGAGTCAGACATGACTGGATTGAATGTCAAGGGGAACCTTTACCTTTACCTTACCAATTAACTGCTTCCAACCATAAAATTTTATTAGTTATTTGTTATTAGTTTTCTCTGTTTTCTAAGGTACAATATTAGTACTTTAGTAAAGAAATTTTTAAGTGTTGTAATTTTAACTGAATTTTATTAACAATATGACTTTAATTCTATTCTAACATTTATACTGTAACTTTATTGTATTTTAATTTTCTACAGTTTTTTAACAGTATTGTCAGCTGCCCTGAGTCCCAATTCTGGGAGACAGACAGTGCATAAATATTATGTAATGGAGCAGCATAAGAGTTTATTTTCTGATGTATGTGATCAATATATGGATCCTGCTTTAGATCATTGGAAGTTCCAAAGTATAGTAATACTGATTTTCTGGCTTAATTTAACTCTCTACTTTGGAAGCTTTGGGGATGCAGTTGAATACAGATTTTGTATCAGAGCAGATTCTGCCCCTTTAGATTTGTAGAGGTTGAGACGTAAATTGTCCTCTTTTAAAACCTTTCCCAAGTCAATGCAGACAGACTTCATTGTTAATTATTTTGGATAGAACAAGTGTTTTTATCACTGTAGCAAGGTTCCTGACTACTGCTGGAACTCAAAAACCCCAGATGACTGATTGTCAGTTTTAAGTTATTTGGGAGAGACAGAATTATTTTTTTTTAAGTATCCTCCCCTGAATTGCAGCATTTGTTACATTCCACAACTATATTTTCAACTAACTGCAGACACAATTTATGCTATTTGTTTTCCAAAATCTCTCCACAATGTCTTCATACATACAAGGATACTGGACATTCAACTGGCATTTTGAAAAATAACTTTTAAAAATATTTTGGCACAAGCTCTTTTTTGAGATGTGGAGGAAGGGAGTATTTTTTTTACATGACAAAAACTGGTGTGGTGTAGTACCCAGGCTGTCAGAACAAGACTGCAGAGACCTGGGTTTCTAATCCCTATTTGGCCACGGATACTTACTGAGGAGGGCTGGCAATGGTAAACCATTCCCTGAATTTCTTTCAAAGGAATACTTTGAACATCCTATTAAGGTCCCCTTGAGCCAGAAGTGACTTGACAGCATATGATAGCAAACATTTATTTACATATTCCTTATGCCACTACTGCACAAGACATCTTGAAGACCCTGACAGGTGGAAAGAGACAGGTTCCTACGTTATCCTGCAATCTAAAACAGAAAATGAGCAAAAGAATAGGGAAGTGGAGGTGGGAGAAGAAAGGGCAGGTGAAAAAGAACATGGGGATAATGGTAGTTTAAACTTGGTTGGAGTTCGGAATGAAGATTAAGAGAGCAGAATCAAAGACCTTACACATAAGGAATGTTTTGAGGATGGGAGAAAGGAGACAAGCATGGACATGTCCGTGAAAAGAGCTTCATTCAAAGTGAGCAATACAGAGCTTTGAAGCATCCATTACCTTTTTCAATTGTAACTCCCACAGACTCCAGCCGGCATGGCCAGCAGCCCATTCAAATATGACAAATAATAATAAAAAGTAATATTTACAAGCTCTGAGTCAACAAATGAGAAAGACCAGTATCATGATAAGAGTTCAAGCAACCTTCAGACTCCGGAGAGGAGTAGATCTGGAGGAACAGATGTCACAAGGGAGGAGCAAGAATGAATGAAAGGACAAAGCCAGGTTGTGGAGAGCTTGAAAAGCATATCAATATATCACACACTGTCATGTGCAAAAGCCGTGTTTCTAATAACCTTCCACTTTAAAAAATGTATTGGGAAAAAATTTACCTGGCCAGAAAAGTTTGTAATCTATGTTTGCTTCTACATCTTGAAAATCCATACAGTATGAGCTTGGACATATCACGTGCAAATGCTGACTCATGGCCTGTTTAATTTCTTCCCACTCACCTCCTGCTGTCATTGCTGTGCTCTGAAGTGTGTTAAATCCTTTATCACAATAGATGTGCAAGTTGAGCAATAAATAAACCTAAGATGCTCTTCCCCTTGCCCATTACTGACTGCATCAAACTGCTGTACCATAAGAGGCTGTTAATATAATTCTTGGATCCTGACAAGATTTACCTGAAGCCATAAGCTTTTTCTAGACTTCAGGTTACCCATTGCCATGTGAAACTGTCCAGTTTTGTTTCATATTTATTTATTACGTCTGATCATATTTTATGGCTGACACTTTCTAAATTTTACAGATGAAATGGCTATGCTCCAGAGTCTGATAAGGAATAAGCCGCCTAGAGTGGTCGTTCCACTAGATAGGCGGGGTATAAATACAATAAATAAATAACCAGCTGTTTCATTTTAACATTTGTAAGCATACAAAACCCCCTTAAATATGTTTTTGTTTATTTTATTTCTATGTTGCCTTTTTCATGATGAGAAGTTTATCTTTTTGTGATCTTTCCTCCCTCTTCTTTTATAGGCTTGAGTCATCTCCATAAAGCATTCAAATAATTTCTTCCATGATTTTTAATTTCTTTGAAGGTTGTTTTTTTTTTTCAAACAAAACCTCATTGCCAAAAACATAATAACAGTTACTGATGGGAAGATGAAGGTTTAAAGAAGGTTTACAGTAGAATCCCTGTACATGCACGGTTGGTATCCACTGTATCCCTGGATCCATTTGAACTGCTCAGCCCTGCTGTAAAACAAGGGATCTCCCTGCAGCCAACCTTCTAGCACAAAAATCTAGCTTACCTCTTTAGGTGGGTTGTGGCAATGAATGGTTCCTATGCTTGGTTCCTAAGGAAAACAGACATGTTGTGTGTCAGTTCAGGAGTTCACCTTCAATGTATTTACATCATCATCATTGTCACGATCCTAATTCTCATGTTTGCATACACCACCCCTCTGAAGATTTCCTTTTAGGTATCATAGTTTTGGACCAGCTTTGTGGTTTTTTTTTTTGTGAGAACATCTGGATTCAGTCCTCTGCATGAATTATACCAAACATAACAATTTGTCTGACAGATTGTGTGCATTAGCAACCTATATTCTCTTACTGGAACGGAGCACTATATTACAAGCTTATACAGTTAGAGCTAGAAATGGGTACATGTATCGTTTCTGCTTTCTCCCAAAGCTGAATTTTAGTAAATTCTTGTAAAAACAACAATAACACAAACAAATTAGAAAGAAAGTTTCAACCCCTCCTTAGTTAATTCAGATTCTACACAAAAACTATGAAGAAGAAACATGAAAGAGCTATGTATGAGAATTTGGGCCAAGCACATCAAGGCATTTTGCCATTGGTGAGAATACCCATTTGAAGTGAGAAACCACATTCCATTCAGTGCTAGTTTCACAGCTTGCCTTGTGAGAAAGAGCTGGGCTTCCTTCAATAATGTGGAGGTGTGAAGAGAGGAAGCTTAGAGCTATCATTTTTCTTTGAAGTCAGCTTGTTTTTATCTTTTTTTTTTTAATGGAGCTTTCTGAAAATGGATGCTACACATCTTGGCTTCAAATCTAGGCACAAAACATTTAAGTACACGCCTAAATACTTGTAGTATGACTCAGATAAGCGTATTGCTGGGAAATATGTACTTTGCACAGGTACATTCAGGACTGTGGAATGCATACCTGGTGACATATTGAGCGATCTGATACTTGTACAATTCGAAATCAGTTGATATCGACACAAATAATTTCATGCCGATCACACTCAAGTCTCATTGTGTGTATGATAGGAAGGATAGGGACTGTTTCTACCAGAAAACCTTGGACAGGAAGCTTCCGATGTTATGGTGATGAGTTAATGACAGAAGGCCTGCTCTGCCCTCCCATCCTCCGTAAGCCTTTTTGGAAAAGCATCAGTCATCTGAATGCAGTAACTGGCTGCATTAAAATGAGCTGACCGGAATTAAGGCACTAGCTTACACTGATTTCTAGTGCCTATCTATGAGATCCAGGGGAATTTAAAAACAAATTAATTAGGCTTCCTCAGGCTCAGCAGAACAATCAATACGGTGGAGACATCCAAATGGTTCCAGCAAATCACAACCTTGCTGTGCTTTCAGAAGTTGCCACTGCAACAAAAATAGTCCAAAATAGTTTAATTCAAGGGACGTACGTAAGTGGTGGTAGATGTAATTATTCACTGCAGAGATATCCATTACACAGAGATACAATCAAAACCACAGTAAGGCCTGTGGCTTCTAAATGATTCAGCCGATAGGAAATAGATTAGATTCCCCTGCACCGCTTAGTTTATAAGAAATGAAATAAACAAATTAACACTTGTAAACTTTCCCCTAAGGAGAGGTCTGGTGTTAAATGGCCTAAAGCTGTCTGGAAAGCATATTAAACATGATTTATACTTTACAGGCACAGCATTCGTATAAACAAAGGGCTGCTTCTGATGAGTTCATGGCTGCTGCAGAGGGCACCATTGACAAAACTGTGCCTGCCTAATAACTTGTAGCACTGCTCCTTTTTCTTCTTTAGAACTGCATGGTGTTCATGCCTATATAACCACGAAAACAAATTTATTTTTCAAGTATTCATCAGGCCTGGTTTGTACAGGCATGTTCATCAATTGGCAACATTGTGCAATAGCTGGCATGAAAATATCAACAATATAATGCATTCCAAAGGACTCATTTCGCAGGTCAACTAGGTAATAACCAAAAAATGCAACAGTCACATACCAAGAAATTCAGAGAAGTACACTTCTCCCTTCAATAATGCTGGGGTTAGGGGTGCCAGATCCCTGTGTAGTTCAAAATCCATGTACTGTATAACTCTTACACCCCCAAAAACATAACTACAAAGCATAACCAGTTGATTCACTCACTCACCCCCTCTCCCTCTCCCTCCCCCCTTCTCTCTCACACATACAGAGAGAGAGAGAGAGAGAGAGAGAGAGAGAGAGAACAGTTTTCTTTCATAGCATTGGTAATCCTTTCCATACAATACTATGTGAGATGAGCTTTAATGGTCCTTTGGGGGCAAGTAGACCACTACAACTCCTTTGGTGTTAAATCCACGGGGTTCTGTGTGGCCAGGAGCACAGGACTGATTGACTGAAAACAAAATATGTATAGAATGGAAATTGTACTGCTTGCAATTCAAGGGAGGCTTATGTGAATTTCCAATGCAGAGTGTGGAAATAACACACTGCAAATAAGCTCATTACTTAAAACCAATGTATTTTCCTCCCTGGCTGAACATGGCAACATGTTGCTTTGGGAGTACAAGAAGTAACATTTACTTGTTACTCTTAAAAGAAGATTGACTATACTGCTATTTTAAATAATGACTATAAAAATAGTTTAAAATAATGTGTTAGCTGGCAATGGCTACGTGGAAAATAACAAGCAGCAACAATACTAACATATTGCACATTTCCAAAGCATTAATGTTAAGACGATTTTTGAATTATGTTTCAAGTCTTGGCACAAACCAGAAGTACTGAAGTATAAAAATATTATATTATCTGACAAATTTTAATCTGAGAGCCTTGGAAAAGAGGTGATTACAGGTAGAGGGAGATATGGCGCTGGCAGGGCCCCTACTCGTGTCAGAAGAACAGTGAGCAGAAAGCTGTACACTGTCCTGGGACTCTGACCAACCATCAGAATCGAGGTAGCCGGATCAGCCGACCCTCCACTGTAAAACTGGTGCTGTTGAATGCCAGGTCTGTATCCAATAAATTCCAGATTATTTATGATCCATCTGGAATAGGATGCAGACCTGGTATCCATAACCGAGACATGGATTAGTGGGGAAGGGGGTCCACCCCTGGCCTTTGTCTGTCCTCCTGGTTATGCCGTCCAGCATCAGGGTAGACTGGAGGGGCAGGGGGAGTAGCCATTGTTTATAAATCCAGCTTACAGGTTACTAGGCGCTCCTCGGTGGTTAAGCCGGGTCTAGAGGCACTCATGGAAGGATGGGGGGGAGTAGCCATTGTATATAAAAACACTCTGGAGGTTACCAGGCGCTCTGTGGTGGTGAAGCCGGGTCTGGAGGCCCTCCACATGTCAATAGGGGCCAGGGATGGAATTGGGATTTTGCTGGGCTACCGTGCTCCCCGTGACCCAGCCATCTCCCTACCAGAGCTGGCGGACTTTGTCTCCACGGTGCTGTTGGAGTCCCTGAGACTTTTGGTCCTGGGTGACTTCAACATCCATGCGGAGGCAGAGATTTCTGGTCCAGCTCTTGAGTTCTTCGAAACCATGGCTTCCCTGAACATGTCCCAACATGTTGACAGCCCCACCCACTGGGCCTCGAAGGCTGTAGATCTGGTTTTCTCCAACAACTGGAGTGAGCGTGGGACGTTGGTGACTGACCTTGTGTCAGTCCCCTTGACATGGACGGATCACCATCTAGTAAAATGTGGCCCTCCCACCTCGCGGGGAGCAAGGATCTATTGTAATGGTCCACCCTCGAAGGCTACTGGATCCTATAGGATTCCAGGATACCATGAGAGGGATTCTGGCTGATCTGGCTGGCGCTCCTGTCGGGGCTCTGGTGGATGGTTGGGTTCCAGCTGCCACTAGGGCTGTCAACACAATTGCTCCTAAACGCCCTATCCAATGCAGAGCTCGGCCAGCATCCTGGTTTAACCAGGAACTGCAAGTGATGAAGCAAACTAGGAGAAGGCTAGAGAGCAAGTGGAGAAAGAAACCGACGGATTATAACTGGATAGCTGTCAGGGTTGCTACTAACCATTATCTGGCCAATATAAGGGCTCCTAGTCGAGCTCACCTCGCTGACCGGATAAGTGAGGCTTCAAGTCAGCAGGCGGAAATTTTCCGTATAGTCCGCGACCTATCCGGAATTGGTTGGGGTGAAGGGGCTCCTTCTAGTATCTCACCTGACCAATTTGCAGCATTTTAAAATCTAAAATGGAGGCCATCCGCCGAGAGCTTTCTTCTTTTTTGGTGACAGTGGATCGAGCAGAGATATCCAGCGCTCTGCCCGGTGAGCTTTGACCATTTTCAGCCTGTGATGCCAGGCATTGTGGACAAGGCATTAGTTTGCTGTTGGGCCACCACTTCCTTTCTTGACCCTTGCCCGGCCTGGCTAATCAAAACAGCCAGGCCTATAACAACTGAATGGGCCACAATAATAATTAATGAGTCTTTCCGGGAGGGCAGGGTTCCTCCTGCCCTCAAGGAGACGCTCATTAGGCCCATTAGAAAGAAACCCAATCTGGCGGCGGAAGATATTGGCAATTACAGGCCCGTCACCAACGTTTCTTTCATTAGCAAAGTGGTAGAGACGGTGGTGGCTGATCAGCTTCAGGTGCACTTGGATGAAACAAATGCCCTGGACCCGTTCCAGTCGGGCTTCAGGCCATGCCATGGTACAGAAACGGCATTGGTCACCCTGTATGATGACGGCAAGATGTCTTTGTTGGTCCTCCTCGATATCTCTGCCGCCTTCGATACCATTGACCATAGTATCCTCCTGGGGAGGCTATCCGAGTTGGGAATTAATGGTCTGGCGCAGCCTGGCTCCGATCCTTCTTGGAGGACCATCCCCAGAGAGTACAGCTTGGGGAGAATGTCTCGGCCCCATGGTGCCTCAATTGTGGGGTTCCACAGGGGTCAATTATCTCCCCAATGCTGTTTAATATCTACATATGGCCGCTGGGTGGGTCATTAGGGGGTGTGGGGCTTCGTGCCACCAGTATGCTGATGACACCCAGCTCTACATCTCCTTTTCTCCAAGTACAGTGGATGCTGTTCTGTCCCTTCAGTGCTGTCTGGAGACTGTACTGCAATGGATGCAGGCTGTGG